AATAACAATTGCAAAAGTGAGTTGCCGCTTTTAGATATTTTTATTATAAACGTAATGCTCTTCTGAGATCTATGATTATAATTATGTTCTTCTTTAGTTTACATATAGTTCGTATAAAAGGATTACTGTAACCATGGACATTATAAATAAAGTTTTTGTTTCACGTTTCTCCATGTTTATTCTATTAAACAGTATCTAACATTGTTCTTTTTTGGGAGAATATTTCCCAGAATGTAACACATTTGTTCTTTATTTGGAAAATGCATCCCATTTTCGGAACAAAACTGTCCTGTTGTGGGAAAGCACGCTCAAGTGGACTGAACACTAGTGTTCCGTTTTGGCGAAAGGAATAGGCTCCCTGACTCCATATGCGGTTAGGAGTCATGTTGAGTCTGCTGTTTCTGCCTTGTTCTAATGTCCTAGGAATATTGAGAACTATAGAAAATATAAGAACATTAGGAGCATAGGAACAATGGGAGCTAAACAATCAATGGGGAAAGAGCGTTTCTGGAATGGTAGAATGGGTTGGAATGGGCCGGAATGAGCTGATCCGGAGTGACGAAAAATTCCCAAAAGTTTCATGACTGTATGCCATGAAACTACAAACATAGAGCAATTTTGGTTGTCGCTGGGTAGACATACATACATGCAAACATACATACAAGCATTTTATTTTTTACGAGACCTTTTCCTTTACAGTCGAGGGAATAGAGGTTCTCACTCAGCGCCAATGTGGCCCATTCCGGCGCATTCCATAAGCCTCTCAAAAAAGGAGAATGGAAAAGCTGTAAAAAATTGTATGGAATGGTATGGAGTGGTATGGAATGGTATGGAGTGGTATGGAATGGTACGGAATGGGCCATTCCAGCCCACTCCGTTTTTTCCCCCTTGACAATAGCCGTTTCTGTGATAAGTCCATTATAGTGCCTTATAGCACCTTATAGTCCCTTATAGTACCTTATAGTACCTAATAGTCCCTTACAGTCCCTTATAGTCGATTATAGTACCTTATAGTCCCTTACAGTCCCTTATAGTCAATTATAGTACCTTATAGTCCCTTATGGTCCCTTATAGTCCCTTATAGTATCTAACAGTCCCTTATAGTATCTAATAGTCCCTTATAGTCCCTTACAGTCCGTTATAGTCAATTATAGTACCTTATAGTCCCTTACAGTCCCTTATAGTCAATTATAGTACCTTATAGTCCCTTATGGTCCCTTATAGTCCCTTATAGTATCTAACAGTCCCTTATAGTATCTAATAGTCCCTTATAGTCCCTTACAGTCCGTTATAGTCAATTATAGTACCTTATAGTCCCTTATGGTACCTAACAGTCCCTTATAGTACCTTATAGTCAATTATAGTGCCTTATAGTCAATTATAGTATCTAATAGTCCCTTATAGTACTCTATAGTACCTCATAGTTTTACTACATATATAACATATGTAGAATATATCTATATAATAAAATTATATATTTTATACTATAAATTATACATTCTATATTATATAATATAGATATAGAGACAGATACAGATGTATCTATCACATATGTATAAATTTTGAATTATTTTGTAATTCATTTCCGTCATGAACTCAAATTTGCTCGAAAACTGGAACATAAAAGATTGAAAAACTGATAGAATGAAAAAATGGGAGAATCGGAGAAACCTACTCTGTCTCACGCTAAAAGCAAGACATTTTAGAGTGTTTCATCGACACAAAACAACTATTAAATTAACTTAAACTTACATAAGAAGAACTTCGCTATTTTTAACTTCTCTATCACCCAATTAGAAAGAGATTCAAGGGTTTCTCAAATATTCAAAAATTGAATGTAATATTGAAATTGAATGTAATCAAAGCTAAAAATCTAAATCGTAGGTTGAAAATTAATCGAAGAAGTTCGCGGAAAGATGTGAAAGAGAAAGTATTGCACAGTAATATTAACAAGTTAGAAAGCGTCGAAGCTACACATCAATAACGTTAATCTCGCTTCTACATCTTCCATATTATTGTTTGTCTAGCAAACCAATTCATACGATAATCGTTTTATATCAAAGTCTACGATGGATAATGAATACACTGATGGAAGATCGTCTTAATCTCATCGGATATTTTGATCATCTTTGTTGTTCTAAACTTGTTATTAATAGAAACAGGAAAACTAATTATTTTAAGTAAAGATCTATTCTGTAACTATTTGACATTCACGATCATTCTGTGTGATCCATCAATCTATACAAAAAGGAACTTTTTATAATAAAAACAATAACTAAGTGTTAATAGCCTAGGTTAAAATATTGAATATATAGGTGATTCGTCAGAATAAAAACGATTTTATTATACCATTGCTATAGAAAAGAAATGAAATACTCTTTTTTTAATTCGGCAGATTTGATCAAACTAATTTTAACCTGTCTAGTTCATTATGGTAGGATCAATTTGATGACAAAAGGAAGATCGTGCAAAAAATGCTCTTCTGGAAATATTTGATAAATTCCATTGACATTTGAATTTATTTTCTTTCGAACGATACAACTTGAAGATTGCTAACCGAATGATTAGTGGCCAATTATTAGAGAACAATAACCACAGTTATTTTCATTGTTTGTCAAATTTCAAATAAAATATTTCATTTGGTCGATCTGATTACTATTTGTTCGATGTGTATCGAACTGAGTAATCTTTTATCTGTGAAGTACTTAACTAATTCTTCTTTCTATGTTATTGTCTCAATGTTAGTTAAAATACAAAAATAAATTGAAAAGGATATTTGATCCTTATTGGGAATTAAAAATGAAGGTGTCAATTAAATACATAAAGCTAAGTTTGTCTTCTGGTGCCACAAAAAATGTCTTTCTTCCTTGCTTTCAGTACCCTTCTCCTTGCTTGTTTATTTGATGGTCAGTTGAGCGCTCCTGTACAAAGCAGTACACTTTACACCTGGTGGCATAATAATAGTGAATATAATGATAATTCTCCGGTGGCTGATAACCATGTTCGTATCTCCACTGTCTATAGTGTTCAAATAAGCACAAAGGGCACTAATGAAAATGATACACACGATTCTTTCGTTTACATGACTATTCCTCGAGGTGGTCGCCAGAAATGGGAATATAATGATTGGGATGGAGCTGAATTTGCCGAAACAGCCAAATTGAGTATGAGTTGATCAACATTTCAGTATTTAACTGATGTATGGGTCTCCATCAAACTACTCAATCCTCTCGATACAGTTCATTCTGTTGACGATGTCATCATTCGACCAACTACTTTGAATTTTAAAAAAGAAAAAATCAACAATATGGTCATTCGCATTTTGATACCTTATCATATCGATGGTTACAGGTAGATAAAAAGTATTATTTTTATTATATATCAATTGATCAAATTAGATTTTCTGTTGAGTTCAAGAGTCAACTTTTCACAACTTATAATTTCAACGATGGTCCATCAGAAAATAGTGCTGGACGAGCCATTCACACCGAACCACGTCAAGCTTTACTTATCTTTGCTGAATCTATGTTCACTGATGATCATATTGACATATACATCCCCAATCCTCATTACAATGATATTTATTATGTTTCGCAAGGAGAAGTGAAAAATTTCAATACGATCACTCAAACAGTCGTTTACTTCCAGTCCGGTACCTACTATATGCCATGGAACTACCACGCTTACTTTCCAGCTAATGTTCGTTGGGTATATTTGGCTCCGGGATCTTATGTCAAAGGCGCTTTCCAGTTTCAATCTACTGATAATATTAAAGTGACAGGCTTTGGTGTTCTTTCAGGAGAAAAATATGTATATGAGGCCGACATCAACAATAATTATCATCACAGTATAGGCGATCAGTGTTGGGCAACATGTGTTAAAATGCTTCGTTTCAGTTCTGATCATGGCAAAGAACAACATCTTCATCTTCAAGGTGTCACTATCTCCGAACCACCATACCATTCATTTGTTGTCTATGGTGATGAACAAACCTTTCATATGACTGTTTCATCCTATCATCAAGTTGGGAGTTGGTATTGGCAAACTGATGGTCTAGAAATCTATCGAAGAAGTACACTAGGAAACACTTTCTTCCATTCAAACGATGATGTTCTGAAAATCTATCATTCTGATGTGAAAGTAAGAAACATTGTTGTATGGAAGAATGAAAATGGACCTGTCATTCAATGGGGATGGGCACCAAGAACTATCAATAAAGTTTCAATAGATACAGTTGATGTCATTCATAATAGAATATGGTGGTCGGACATCAAGCATAATACTTGCATTATCAATTCAGCTACCTATTACGCTGACACAGAGTCGACTAATACGGCAGATCCAAATCAAATGATTGACGGTCTAGTCATTTCTAATATTCGCTCCGAAGGTATGAGTCCTTGTGCTATGCGTATTTATGCTCTTTCCAACACTCAATCTATCACAATCAAAAATCTTTTCATTGAAAAATGGAATGATTTAGACAAATCATCACAGATGAGCATTTTCAAAGCCTATTCAGACAAGAATGGCAATAAAGTCAAAATTGGAAATCAGTCAACCGATAAAAAAGGTTTAGCTATCGAAAACTACACAGTGGCTAATATCAAAGTTGCCAGAGTGTCAAATAACTGGCAAGACTTTAGCATCGGTCGTTTACATTTTGATGCTTATTTATGGGATAATTGGGATGCTTCTTAAGTTATTTTAAACATTTGTTCTAAATAAACAATGTGTATGAGCCCTCCTGAAGTTTTGTCTCATTAGTCGACTAAATATATCTGAAAAAATCTCTAATTATCCGGTATATGAATGGAAAATTGAATATAACTCTGTAAAATATATTTCTTCTGTCATATTGCCTTTTCGATTCCACTAGATCCTTTTAATTGACAATTGATATTTTACATTTTTCATAAAAGAAATAACTGTGAATAAGGATACAAATTATCATAGGTGTCCAGTTAATATATTGTTGAAAATAATATTTTCATTATCTCCTTGCCAAATTCGAAAGTCGAAGCAAGAATCCAGCAATTTGAATATTTGAGAAACCCTTGAACCTCTTTCTAATTGGGTGATAGAGACGTTAAAAATAGCGAAGTTCTTCTTATGTAAGTTTAAGTTAATTTAATAGTTGTTTTGTGTTGATAAAACACTCTAAAATATCTTGCTTTTAGCGTGAATATTTGGACAGATCGTCCCAACTCCAACTATTACTTTCTGAACCATAGACTCCAAATATTCTGAGAGATTCGTCCAACTCAACGTCGACACCACATACATTTGGAATCTCACAATCTATTCGTTTAACGTTTAAGTCGTTCCTAAGCAGCAGAATTACGCCTCCATGACTATTTTCACCTTTTTGATAGAAATAACGATGTTTAGGAAATATCTGAAGTAGAAGAGAAAAATCGATAGAACCAACTTCTAACAGTATCATTATATCGAAATTGAAAGATAGAGACAAATATAATACTTCTTGCATCCTCAAGTCGAAACCACGTACATTAAAAGACAAAATGTGTAATTATGAACACGAAGAAGATAAATTAGGTCTAACAAACTCTTGCCATTTTTTAAAACATATTGGTAAAAGGTGACTACTTTCCCACTCTTCGAAAATTTGTACGAAAAGAGAGAAGTCAAAAGGCGACAACGAATTCTGAGCATTACATAACACGGTTTCTCTTTCTTTTAATTTAGTTAGAGATGTACAAAAGAAAAAAAGTCTTTTTTCTAGGTCCGTACTTTGTGGATTTCCATTCTTTTGATTTTGCTCAGTCATAAATTTAATGATATCATTTAAAACAGGAACTATTACTTTAAATAAACAATTTTCATGACGACGATATAGTACATCCAATTGCTTTGTATTAACATTAATTTCTCTAATGCCATTTGATA